ATTACCGTATGAGCTGGGCCTCAGACCCCTCACAGACACAGCTGATATTACCGTATGAGCTGGGCCTCAGACCCCTCACAGACACAGCTGATATTACCGTATGAGCTGGGCCTCAGACCCCACACAGCCACAGCTGATGTTACTGTATGAGCTGGGCCTCAGACCCCACACAGCCACAGCTGACATTACTGTACGAGCCGGGCCACAGACCCCGCCGTGGCTGACGTTAAGCTGGGCCTCAGACCCTGCACAGCCGCAGCTGACATTACCATACCCTGCAGATACTCACCACACTGCAGTTGCTGGAAGCAGACAGGCACTTCTTGTCATCACACCACTGGCAGCCGTTAGTGTTGGCGGTGCAGCTGGCACAGTCCGAGAAGCGGTAGCATTGCTCGTCTACTGTCGCTGGGGGAGAGGGGGGTGGAAGTGGGGGTGACAGTGTTAGTGTCTATGTTACTCTGAGAGCCACCAAGACAATTGTATGACCAAGGCCAATGAGGGGGTCTGTATTAGTGTTGGTTACTCTAGTTGGCCCCCACAGGTGGCACCATGTACCCCAGGTCACCTTAAAGGTCCTGAGCTCCATCTCCCCACCCTGATCATGTAATGCTCAGCACTGCCACAGCCAATACAGCCCCCCCCCATTTGTCCCACACCCTGAGCTCTTTGCACCCTCTCTCAAACTTCCCAGAATGCACTGCAAGCACCCCCAGGTCAGAAATCAAACAACTCAGTTTCGTAACTGGGACGCCATATGTCCCAGAGGCGCGGACACACACACAAACACACACACACACACACACAGGTTTACACAGTGACAGAATAAGCTTGCCCAGTGCCTGCTTCATGTGTCACTGCCAGGGCAACAGGAAGCAGGCAATATCACATGAGGGTGAAGGGGCGGAGCCCACACCGACTCGTGGCCCTCCTCACACCAGTACCATCAGGCAGGCCATGATGCAGCCCGGGGGCCCGAACCAGCCAGCTCTGGGCCCCAGGCTGCTCACACCAGTACCATCAGGCAGGCCATGATGCAGCCCGAGGGCCCGAACCAGCCAGCTCTGGGACAGTCAGAGGGCTGAACTCTGAACAACGGACCATTTACTGCCATCCATACTCATATGCCGTTTTGTGTATATATTTATTTCCAATTCATGCACTAGTTATTATTACAATGCTGTATACTTCCTATTTGCACAATTTGTATCTATTTTCACTATTTCATCACTGATGCTATGGATTAGCACAAGTTTTTCACTCACACACAGGGTCTCCCCCATGGTACAACAACACACACACAGGGTCTCCCCCATGGTACAACAACACACGCACAGGGTCTCCCCCAGGAGATAAGGACACACGCACAGGGTCCTCCCCATGGTATGACGACGCACGCACAGAGTCTCCCCCATGGTATGACGACACACGCACAGGGTCTCCCCCAGCAGATAAGGACACACGCACAGGGTCCCCCCCATGGGACAAGGACATACATACCAGGCTGAATGGGACAGGAGGTGGTTGGGATGGTGCCGTTAGTGTGGGCGAGATCCCAGGGCACGCAGCGGCCCTTGGTCCACACGCAGCGGAGGCCGGGCCCGGCGCTCAGACAGGCCTCTTCCTGCCGAAAGGCCTCGCAGCTGGGGGGCTTGTACACCAGGATGTCATTGAGCAGGATGCTGGAGAAACCCCCAAACACATACATGGAGCTGGGGAGAGACACCACACCGTCACCCAGTGACAGCGACATCATTGGTGGAACCCAAACAGCACCCGAAGAGAACCCAAGCACAGCCGGCACAGGACTCGGTGGAGAAGGCCACGTCTTTGGCAGCTCTGCAGGCACACCGCGCCTTAAACTCACCCATTGCTGACAACGGCCGTGTGACCGAAGCGGTTCACGTCCCGGTGGAGGTTGGGCTTTGGCAGGACTTTCCAGTCGTCACAGGCTGAGGAAGAAGAGCAGAACCACACTGAGGGGTGTCCACAGTGCCCCCATTAACCCCCCCCCAGCCCACCCCCAACCCCCAACCA